AGTACTCACTTGCCATTTTGGGGACTGAGTCATCCTTGTGAGTGTGTTTTAGGTTGGGTGCATGTCTCTGCTGGAAGCATTTGTTGGAGGTACAACTTCATTTTAGAACGCTAATGCTCTCTAGAGAAGGCCAAAACACTGGTGCAGGTAAAGGATATATCATCAAACCCCAATTTTATTACTCGTTGCTTTGGAAGGATGGCTCTGCTACTTCACTACTGAGGTTTGGTGGTGTGGCAATACTGGCAAGGCTTGTGCAGACTAGCCCTTACGGTTAATCTGGAGCAAAATCATTAATTTGGCAAGACAACTGCTTTCCAAAAGCCGAGTGTCTCCCTGGGCTCCTGCAGTCTGGTTCCTGACACCCTACTCTGGCTGTGGAAGTAGGTCAGGGAACTGCCTTCGCGGCGCGGTGACGTGAGAGCAGGTAAAAGTTTTGTGTTGCAAAGCGTCAAACCCAAAGTGTCTGTCTCTTGTTTCCCAGATTTTTAGGTTGCTGCTCACTGTAAATATAAACCTGCTTGAGGTGGCTGTGGTCTGGAGCACTCTCACAGGCACAGTCTTTGCAGACAGCTGTTTGCTTTACCTGTTTAGGTACCAATATACCAGCGCTCTAAGATTAAAGCATTCCAAGGGTTGTGCTGTTGTTCTCTTTATAACTCAGGCCACCACTGTAAAAACACACCAGTTACCTTTTCTTAACAGTTCACAGATAAGGAAGAGATTTTAAAGATAAAAATATTCCCAGAGAATTACGTCTGACTCAGGAAAACAAGCACTATTGGTGGCAGCTGAGTTCTTTGTTTGAATTTTCATTTTGTTTGCTGTTAAGTCTGGCTGGATTTTTAAAAAATTATTTTTTAAAAAATTATTATTCCCCTCCTGTAAAATTTCATCTGTAAAATGTAAGAAAACCAAGTTTTCAGACACATGGACTCTTTTTTCAATGTGCTTGTCATTCATCTTAACTGTCCCACTGTCTGGTGCTGTCACAGGGATTTGGCTATAGGGTTGAAAGGATGATTGTGTTTTTCTTTGTTTTGCTCTTTTGAAATGACAGTAAGTTGGAAGAGCCACCTGAATTTTAACAAGAACTATGGACAGTCTTAATTTACCTGTTGGTTTGCTTTTTGTTTGTTTGTGGGGGGTTTTTATTACTGTTTGAATTTGTTTTATGCAATTAGATGTGAATTGTTACTCTGGCAATATCAGCATCTGTCCTTAAGCCCTATTTTAATTTTGAGAATTCACCTTGTTTATATTGCTTACAAATACAGAAGAGGTACTGGAATTTTTTTCCTCGTTCTGCCTTATGTAGTGTCACTTGAGATGACTCATTAGGATTGTATTCCTTAAGTGATGTGGAACAGCAGATTCTAAATTTGTCACACAGACAACATCAAAACACAACATCAACCCAGTTGTTCTGATGCCACCTGCCCAAGGTGTTATGTTTGCCAAACAGTTTTCCTGAGGAGGTACAAGAGTTTGGGGGGGATGTTGAGCATTTATAGAACACTGTTTATGTTACTGGAAGCAATTTCAGCTTATGGTGATGATCTTAATTAAAAAATGGAAAATATTGGTTTAGAGCATGTATGGAGCCAAGCTGTTCAAAATTAAATTACTTGATAGAACAGGATGGAGAAGTTGCCATATTTTATTTCCCCCAGCTCTGTGTGTGTTTCAGTTGTGCTCCACTCCCAGCTCAAGGGTTTTCTGGTTGGCTGGGGGGGTTATTTCCTTCTAAATCTTGATGTTCTGGTCTTCCATCTGAATTAAGGAAGACCGAGGCAGCCTTTTCTGCTGTGGTTTGGCAGCTCGGAGTGCTTTTAAAGTAATTAGGAATGTTGTCCACAGTAGGAAGCTGTCACATGCATGTGTCAGAAGCAGCTGTGCTGCAGCTGGGCCCATCTCTGCACCTTGGGTTGCTGATTGCCACTTCCAGCTTTCAGCCACACAAATCACAGGCTGAGTAAATCACCCTGAGGAAGAGTGTGGTGGAAAGCAAGCATCCTCCTCCTGGGATGCTGACAGGTTGGGAAACCTCTGCTTAAGCATATCTGTAACTTATTTTCTGAAGTGGAATTTGATAGAGGACCAGGGTTAAATGTTTCTCCATGTGCCCACTCTCTGAACTGGGAGCAAACATGGTTTGAAATGTTCTTGTTCTGTCTGTGTGTGTTATGACAAGGGTGCCCAGGCCTCAGTTTGCTGGTGAGATGTGGGTGCAGGTCACAGCTGGTGCTGGGTGATGCAAGAGGAGACAGAGCTCCTTGCCCTCCGATTCCATACCTCCTACTCTTCTCTCCTCATTCAGCTTTCTTTCCTTTAGACTCACAGTTTTCTTTCTTACACTTTTCCAGCCCCAAACCTGGTTATAATATGCCCTTGCCTCATGTTTTCCCTCCCCTCTTCCCAACAGGCAGTTGCTGTCCTGCAGTGCGTGATGTGAATGACAAGGAGCACCTCCAGCTGCCTTTGGGAATGGCTCCCATGTCATAGCTCAGAAGTATTTGTACCAAAATAAATAACCTTGTAGCTTATTAGCCAACAAATTAAAGTCATGTGACAGATGGATAACTATTGCTTCCCATGACACATGATAGGAGCAAAACTTAGTCTGAACTGGGATGCATTTGCATAAGGTGAATGTTTGCCTCCATGCGAGTGTCTGTAGCTGAAATAGTTTGATTTGTTTTCAAGGTTATTTTCCTGCTTTGACTTTGTGTTTTGGCCCTGCATCAGGGGCTGGGCCCTTTCTTTTCAGATTACCAACTGTTGATGCCTGAAAAAATACACAGTAATTAGAACATCTAGCCTGATAAGACCCAAAAACTCTGAACAACACTGTCTCGTTACCAGGAAGCGTCAGTGTAAAGTCCACGCAATGAGATGATTTAGCTTGGGTGTGTGCAGGTGATGCTAAGATGAAAGATAAATAGCACTAGTCCTTTCCCTAATCTCCCTATTAGTGCTGGCATCAACATGTTTATTATATGCCTTGGGCCTGTTTTAAGCCCCACAGTGTGTTGGACTGTCCAGGTTCTGGGTAGATACTGCTCTGTGTTTGACCATACCAGCTACTCACAGGTACCTGACACATGTGAGATCCAGGTGCCATCCAAGTGCCTCCCTTTTCTGCTGAAGGAAGCCACGTGCTGCAAACCTTGATATATTTTATGTTAAGTGAAAAGAAAAACCAATTTCATCCCAGGAAACAAGATACAGCTTTCGTTACAAACCAGGAAACCTAAAACTCGCGTGTAAATGGAGGTGGTAGCAGTAGTAAAATTGAAGTAGTTTGAATAGATTTGAAAACATGTGTGAAAAAGCCTTTTACTCTGTGTTGGAATTGAAAAGGCCTCTTACCCTGTGTTATATGCTCTGTAATTCCTTTGGAGTTTGTAGGCAGGAAAAGTGCACATTCCACATGGGCAAGGATGGCTCGAGCTGAGGTACATGTTGATCGTGTTGCTGGACATGTATATTTGGGTTAGAAATTTTCAACTGACAAGTTGTAAATCAGTGTCTGCTATTGCAGCATGTGCTTTAGTGGGAGTCACCTAATTTTCCTAATCTCCTTCCAAGTGTTAGGAAATAAACAATTTCCTAATCCATACCATGTTGTTGTTGTTATTTGTATTGTAACTTGTGCCATACAAACACTGAGAGGAGCCGAGCACTGCTGTGAGGTGAGAGATGTGAAGGCAAGACCACAGACATGATTAAGTAAAGGGCTAAAATTACCATCCTTATTCACACTTAAAAATAGCTCCTTACAGACTAAGGTTTTATTTGATGTGAGTTGTAGCTTATTTTGTGAGAAACTAATTTGTTCTGATATGAGTAAGTAAAGCAGAATCTGCCTTGAGCTAAGTCCTATTTATGTATTAGTGTGAACATGGATAGCAGAACACTGACAAACTGGTCGCTTCCAGCTTAGCAAAGCCACAGCTTTTCACATTAAGAAACTAATTCTACCTAAGAATATATTCAAATGAATGTAGAAATGCTTTTAAGGCTTTTGTGTGCTGGGATTTACATATAGATATATAAATATACACAGAGGTAATAAAACAAGTTTTCTGGTCTTTATATAATGTATTCTTCATTGCCTAAAGTGTGGAAAAGAGACATTCAAAATGATCTTTTATTAGCTCTCGTGGCTGTTTGCACCAGACTGGTGGACACTGCTCACTTTTGAATGCTTCAAGTTATCTTTCCTGGAAGAAGTGTTTGCACAAACAGCTGATGGAAAGCAAAGTGTCTGCTGTGTTGTTATTAGTTCCCCATCTTTTTCCCCAGTCCCTCTCCTTGCTATTCGAAGGCACATTACAGTGCTCCTGGTATTTTTAAAGGAATTGCTCACAAGTGAGGTGTCCACTGATGCAGATGAATATTTAAAGCTCTGCTGAGCAGCACATGGGCTGTTTCCTGCAACTATGAGCACATGGATTGGTTACAGCCAGGCATAGCATTAGGCTGATAACATCATAAACTACACAAAATGGTAATGCAGTCCAAATATTTTTGCTGCCAGTGAATATTCTGATCACATCTCCTTACTCTAATTATTTCTTTCTTGGTAAAATGTTTGGGGTTTTTTGTTTTGTTTTGGGGTTTTTTCCACCTTTAGCAAAGCAAATTCTTGTGTTTCATCTGTCAGCAGAGCTGCTGTTCTGTTGGAAGGTCTGAGTGAAGTTTTTGAATGCTTGTGATGAATGAGCTGGGATAAAAAATACTTTGGCTCTTTGATGCCCTGGGTGGTTTGCAAGGCTGAAGTGTTTGTTCAGTTTGGAAACGTGATGAGCAGTATCAGAGACCAGACCTACATCCTTTCCATGCTGATTCAAGGGGCAGTTTTCACATCACACTGGAAGGTTTTAACATCCCTGCTCTAGCTCAGGTGACCCACAGCTAGTGTTTGTTTCTTCAGAAACAAATGCAACAGTGCCCAGATTTTTGAGCTTTTCTCTTTTTCTTGTCTCCTCTCTTAGAACAAAATTGAATTACAATCCTCCAAAGGATGATGGCTCAACGTACAAGATTGAACTCGAAGGGATATCTGTTGATATCATGAAAGAGATACTAGATTACATCTTCAGCGGGCAGGTATGGTATTAAAAAGAACTAGACAGCAGCTGGACTGTTTGTCAGAATAACTTGGGTTTTAACATTGTCCTGAAAGATAAACCTGCTGAGGTTTAAAGCTTTGTGATGGAACTTCTGCAAAGTGGGGCTGTGCATGTGAAGTAGAGGCAGTAAGCTCTGTAGTTGTCTCTCCTCTTCTCGTGCAACCGGGGAGGACTTTAAAATTTAGAGTCAGTGTCAAATGCTTGTATTAAAATTGGTGGCCGCCTTCAATAACCTGCCTTAAAGCATGCAGTCTGTGTCAGGTGTGAAAGAGAACTGGTTTGGTGGTAGCTGTAGAGATTGAGACCCCCTCACTGGCCATTACAGTACATCAGGTGTCCTCCCTCAGTGCCCTTCGTGCCCACCTCTCTGGCCTCTTGTTGCTGCCACTGTGCCCCTTCAGATCTGTGTGCCAGGAGCTTTAGCAGGAATTAAAGTTGGTGTGTCCAGTTTATTTGGAACCAGACTGACATTGCTGAACGAGTTTTAATTTTCAGCAGAAAAAGAAAAGGCAGATGTGGCTTGAAATTCTTTTCTGGACATGCATTTTTAAAAACATTATTTATGTCTTGCAGCAAAACTCATTTTAGGCTCCCAGATGAGATGAACAATTTTATGGTTGGTTTCTTCAGGCGCAAAATTCTGCTCGACACCTTCTGCCAACCAAATGCCTTTCCATCCCTGTGTTCATTTATAAAGGGGTAGCAGTCATATCAGTTTCTCCTAATTTTTACACTGGCATTAATGCTCCATTTTTCAGCCACTGAGATTGAGGGTAATGAATGCGGGCATGTCATGGAACAAATGAGTGATAGTAGCTATAACTTCTAAATTAATTCTTGCAGATCAGGCTAAATGAAGAAACTATCCAAGATGTGGTACAGGCAGCTGATCTCCTGCTGCTTACAGACTTAAAAACTCTCTGCTGTGAGTTTTTAGAAGGTTGCATAGCTGCTGAGAACTGTATTGGTATTCGGGACTTTGCACTGCACTATTGTTTGCATCATGTTCACTACCTTGCCTCAGAGTATCTGGAAACTCACTTTCGAGATGTCAGCAGCACAGAGGAATTCTTGGAACTGACTCCTCAAAAACTGAAAGAAGTGCTGTCGATGGAAAAACTCAATGTTGGAAACGAAAGATACGTCTTTGAAGCGGTGATTAGGTGGATTTCTCATGATTCAGATTCCAGAAAGGTCAGGACATCCAAATGTTTGTATTTTGAATGTGGTGCGGATTGGAGTGTTTATTCTAATCAGTGGGAACTTGAAATAGAACTGTTTCTTTCGGGTCTAATCTTGCACTTATGGAATTAATTGAATTTTGCCTGGAATGCAGACCATGGGATTGCAGTAAAAGGGTGAAAGCACTGTGGGTGATACATCATTTGCTGCCTTTATTATTTGATAGGCAATGAGAAATAAAGTACCATTTTGGCATTTGATGATATAATCTTGTTTTCATGGAGAGAAAGCAAGTAGCATGTTTATGGAGAAATCCTGTGGACTCGATGCATTTTCCTAGTAACATTGTGCTGTATAGTTTATCACTTCCAAATATCAAAACCTCTTAAGTATTTGACAAATACAGAAGCATCTGTACTTACGGATGCCTCAGCGCTGTCCTGTAAAAGTTGGGTGATTCCCTGGCATCCCTGTCTCTCCTCAGGTTCACATGAAGGATGTCATGTCAGCAGTGTGGGTGTCGGGCCTGGACGCGGCGTATTTGCGGGAGCAGATGATGAGCGAGCCGCTGGTGCGGGAGATCGTCAAGGAGTGCAACAACATCCCGCTGACCCCCCCCCAGCAGGGAGAGGCCATGCTGGCCTCCTTCAAGCCCCGGGGCTACTCCGAGTGCATCGTGACTGTTGGGGGGGAGGAACGAGTGTAAGTGTGCGGTGACATCGCAGGGCTCACAGCTGGTGCCTGGAGTTCAGGGCAGTCTGAAAACAGCTTGGAGAGAGCACGTGCACCTGCTACCCTGTCGTTTAAGTTTGGTTTAGGTTGGTCAGATGCACCTGAAATACCTCTGGGAATGATTCCGCAATAAATAGTTATTTTGTTTCTGACATTCAACATGTAGTAAACTAAGGGTAGGATGTGTTGTTTGCTCAGCACAGAACGTTGGAGAAGCACCTTTCTGAAGGTCTGAAAAGCATCTATAACAAAACTTAAATGCAACCAACGTGTGCTTTTAATGTTTTGTTTATGATAGCCATGGTTCAAAAAAAACAAGTCATTAGTGGTGCATCTGAGCTGCCAGATGAAAATTTCTGTTCTGCACAATAATCCCTTTCTCTTTTTGAGTACCCCCTGCAGCAGGGGGGAAGGTTCTGTCCTGTTTAAATAAATTTAGCCTTTAGATGTTAGCTCTTATAGAAGTGTAGTAGACCACTCAGATAACATTTTGCATTTTGTGAATCACTTTACTCAAACATTACTAATACACTTTGTGAGTTATTTTTAGCTGTTCAAAGTTCTTAAGAAAGAGTACAGGAAGGTACAGTAGGAATGAAGTGCAGCTGCTTTTTGTCTCCAGTCTGTACAAACTCAATTTACATGTTTGGTTTGTGGGTCTTCTCCTTACCAGGGCAATGCCACACGTGATGAGTACACATGAAAACGTGAACAAACAAATTTTGGACACAAGGTGTTAACAGTGAACTTGTAAAACTCTGTCTTGTCTTTCTGTTTCTGTTTGTTCCCTCCCCACCCTGTGTTCAGATCACGGAAACCAACCTCAGTGATGCGGTGTATGTGTCCTCTTTATGATCCCAATAGACAGCTCTGGATTGAACTTGCTCCTATGAGTATTCCAAGGATCAATCATGGAGTATTGTCAGCAGGTAAAGGGGAACTTTGTATTTTTAAAGTCAATATTCTGAAAACATACCAGTGCCTCAAAATCTGAGATACAGCTTATAATAATATATTATCTTTAAGATTGACTGCACTGGGGTTATTTTATGCTTCCCCTTTGTCTGCCCAAAACTGTACTTGAATCTGTGAAAATCCCTGTCATCCGAGTGTCTTAAAATCACTATTCCTGCAACATTTTGTGGGAATCTGCTACATCTGTCTCTCCAGGAGTATTTCATGTTTTAAGTAAATTCTAGTTGCTGCATCACTGAACATGTTGAACAGTATCTGCAGGGGTAGACTGGAGTCAGATATAAGTATGTGCTTTGCCTTCTCCAGTCCAGTCTGAACTGTGACTGGTGTGAATCTCTCAGTGAATTCCAGGATACAGCTCACCAGTCACGTTGTCTTGCTCAGTGTACAGGTGTGGGTCCTGTTCTTAAGATCATGTTACATTTTGTTTTACAGAGGGATTTTTATTTGTGCTTGGTGGTCAGGATGAAAACAAGGGAACGCTAAGCTCTGGAGAGAAATATGATCCAGACACCAATTCATGGAGTTCCTTACCACCAATGCATGAGGCAAGATCTCTATCTAACTGTTGGGATTTAAGTTTTTACTTTGGCAAAATGTTCCTTTTCTTCTGCAAAATTTTATTCTGAATCTTCAGTCGCATCTTACACATTCGAAATCATGCTGCAGACTGACTTCCTTTTATATCCTGTTGTTGTTCTTGTGGTCTGATGCTGACTGCTGGATCTGGAAAAACTAAACAGTTGGTGAAGAGCTAACTGTAAGATGAACTACAAAATTTCAGGAGTTTCATAATGCATCAGTCATATAGTGTACTTAATGTTCTGCGTGTACTGGCCTTCTAAAACAAGAGAACTCTGAGATGGACAAAGGGATCGGACTGTGCAGAAAACATGGACAGAGGACTGGCCAACATACAGAACTTGGCTTGCACAGACATACTTAGGTTTGGTTTGAGTTAATGCTTCCTTCTTCATACTTACATTCCATCAGAAAGTTAACAGTTTGTTGTTTGTAAACGTATATCCTTAATACACCTGTGGGTTTATCTTTGTAGATCAGCACAGGGTGTTTGTTAAGAAATTGTTTGCCCCAGGATTTTCCTCTTTGCAGCCTCTGGTTGGCAAAGGCTTGTAGTTTTGGCTACATCTGTAGTTATGATGCATTAAGTTTCCTGCTTACTAAGAGTAAGGCTATGATTGTGATGTTCCCTGTTTGCTGTGAGACTGAGGGGACTGTGCCCAAACATACAAAATAGAGGAGCTGCCTTTGCACAGATAATGAGTCTGAGTTTGGCTGCTATAGAGACCTGAAAGCAACAGCTTCATTGTGGAGACCCTCACTGTGCAAACTGAAATAGAGCCAAGCTCTGTTCTTAGATTTCTGTGTGGTCTCTTTGGCTTCTGCTGCTCTGCTTTTTTTTTTTTTTTCTTTTAATACCCTTTGTTTAGTTTAGTTGATTAAGCTAATAATCTTATGCTGTTGTTTAGGGCTTCACCATTAAAAAAACCAAACCAAAACAAACCCCAGGCATAACACCAATAGCACTTTGCAGACAGATATGCTGAAAAATAAGATTGTATTGATTTGTTCACAGTGGCTGTTACGTTTTACAGTGTTGACTTTATTGGTATTCCTTAGGCACGACACAATTTTGGTGTGGTAGAGATTGATGGAATTCTGTATATTCTGGGAGGTGAGGATGGTGAAAGGGAGCTGATCTCTATGGAGAGCTATGATATTTATAGCCGGACCTGGACCAAGCAGCCAGACTTGACCATGGTTAGGAAGGTAAGAACTACATTGTATAGTATTGCATTACTTATGGTTAAACAGGCAATTATATGTATATATATAAATATATATATATTTAAACCTTTTTCTTCAAGTAGAAGCTGTAACAAATAATCTCAAAATGAAAAGAGAGACAGCAGCTTCTTTATTAATATACCAAAAGAAAAGTCTGGCTGAGGATTGTTATGCCTGGCATTGTTTGACATGTGCTACAGGCAACCTGAATGCCTGTGTGTGTATAGTTAGTTTTGGATATGCTTTTTCTCTTTCCCATAAGATTGGCTGCTATGCAGCTATGAAGAAGAAAATCTATGCAATGGGTGGAGGCTCCTATGGAAAACTCTTTGAATCTGTGGAGTGTTACGACCCCAGGACTCAGCAGTGGACAGCAATCTGTCCTCTCAAAGAGAGGAGGTGAGTGAAAATGGAAGGGGGAACTAGATTGCTGTGTACAGCCTTTTCTAACTCTGATGAGAGGAGATTGTCCTTTTGCTGATGAATCCCTGAAGATGGCCCATCAACTTCCCCATGACTTTCTGAGTCATGGTAGCCTGTAGTTAACACATGGCTGAGGAAAAGAGAAGCATCCAAGCAATAAATACAAATTTTGTAGAAATGCATTCCTGACATTACAAGCAATACTTCCTTGATGCAAAAGGAAAATTAGAAATTGTAGTTCAGTTGGAACCTCAGAATTTTTTTCAGAGATAAATATGTTTCTGTTTTATGTGTTCTGAATTAGGTGCTTACAATTCAAATCCATGACAGATCTGGTCTTGTTGGATATAAAAGGAATCTGTGTGTGTGTGTATAAATAAAAAAATAAGAAATGGTGGAAGTTCAGAAGGATATGTGAACTGGTTTTGATATACTACATTAATATTTTCTTTTCATTTGGATTTTCAGATTTGGGGCAGTGGCCTGTGGAGTTGCCTCTGAGCTTTATGTCTTTGGTGGAGTCAGGAGTCGTGATGACAGTCAAGCCAGTGAGATGGTGACTTGCAAATCTGAGTTTTATCATGATGAGTTTAAAAGGTAACTGGCTGCAGCTCTAAACATGGAAAATACATGCCTTACGGTCTTCTGCTTGTTCCCCCGCTGTTGGTCCAGCCCTTAAAAGCATATTAGGTCTGTGCTGTGCTCATTTTATTTTTTATGACCCAGTTTGGCTGTTACTGAAGGTCCATCAGTGGCTTTATCCTCTCACATACCAAGCCTAAAGCCCTGGGCCACCATGCCAGTCTTGAGTGCCCCTGAACAGGACAAGCCCCTTGGTCATACAGGTAGTTTGTGGTTCTTCCCCTGCACTCTGCAATTCCCCCAAGTGCAGGGTACTGCTGCCCCTACCTGTGCTCATGCCCAAGGCTTCTTCTGAGTGCTTATTAAAGGTGTTTTCCAGCCTGGATGGTTCCATGATTCTATGCAGGAGTGTATGTATGTACAGGGATATTTCTTCATGATCCAGTCTTTTGCAGCTTAGGGAATTCCTAAGGTAGGGATAAGAAATTTCATGCATTTTTGCTCCAAGCATTTATAGCTACTGTAGGTTTTTGCCCTAGGAAAGACACTATGGATGCTATACATTCCACAGCCCCCTCTACATCCTGTGTGGCTGATCTCCTTCTCTTTGTTTTGAATCTGCTTCCAATTGCTTCATTTGTTGTCTCTTGGCTCTGGTGGTGGAATCCACCTTATTACACGTGGTAACTATTCAAAATGTTACCTTAGGCAGATTTTTTTTGTATAGTCACCTTACTCTCCAGTCATAAGACAAGCTCTGGTTCCTTCAGCAGCTTTTTTCTTGCATATGACTATAAATTAGATGATTCTCTTTTATAAACTAAATTGAAAAAAAGACTTTGTGGTCAGATGTTTCAAGTCTTGTTGACAGTGGAGAAGATTAGCATGTCTTTATTAGAAGATCAACACTGATTTATGACAGTGACCTGTATAAAAGGACACAAAAATAGAATAGTAGATGTAAATTCATTATGTAATTTTCTTGCAAGATGTGGTTGTAAAGAGACCAATTTCTGCATGAAGAGGTCTTCTGTGTTGTTCAAAGTGATGTCTAAACTAGCTATAATCCAATGAGGCTGGAGAAAAACATCCTTTCAAGTGGATATAGGAAGCAGACAGATAAGAGAGGCTATTGCTGCTGATGCTCCCTAGTGTTTTCTAGCCCTGTGAGGGTGGGGAAATGCTAAAAGTTTATTAACAGTTTTGAAAGAGGTCTTTGAAAGGAAAAGAATTCTGGAAAGAAGTGCTCTCCTCTCTCCTACTTGCTATTTTTAGCTGATTCACTTGAAATATTTCCGGGCTGATCCTCATGATTCCTCCCCAGTGACTGTAAACCTGTCCCACTGGTTGGTAGAGGGTGAGCTTTCATGGATTTTGGAGGTTGCAGCCTTGGTGAGTCCGTGGTGCCACCTGCTGCCTGCAGCACCCACACCTGCACAGCGTGTGCTGCGCTCGTGACCGTGCTCGGGGGCATCCCCCAGGTGTTACAGGATTCAAATAAAACTGTAGTAAAAATCCAGTTGTTCCAGGTCTTGCTCTGCCCCCCCGTGTGTGCTGGGTGTGTGGGGTGAGGGCTGTGCCGGCGCAGGGGCCGGGAGGGAGCAGCAGGAGGAGCTGCTGGAGGAGGCACAGGGTGAGGGCTGCCCAGATACTCACATTTGCCTTTTTGCTCTGCCACTGCAGGGCCTGAGGCTAGAAATGGAACTCAGCTTAAGTGTGTGCTTGCACTGCAGGCAAGACACGGGTTGTGGGTGTTCCTTTGGAGACTGGGGACCAGGGAAGGCTGGGATGACTCTGCTGGCTGGGGATCGTGCTCCCAAAGTTTGGAAGGTCTGGGTTCAGCCCCGGGAGGCACAAGGGGAGTTGTAGCCAGAAGAGGGTGCAGTGTCCCTGTGTTATATTCCAGCACTCAGCTCCAGGGGTCTGCCAGTTATCCCAGGTTTCCCTCAGAGATCTCTGTAGGTGGGTGCCTTCCAGGGGGGCTGTGGCAGGGGCTGTGACACCTGAGCAGTTGTAACTATGTGGAAAAAGGGAGAAAATGGCCATAAAGGGAATTACCTTCAAACTGCAGTTAGCAAATATTTCTGCCTGCCCAGTGCTGAGACAAAGTACGTTGTTGTCCAGTATTCTTTTCTGAAGTAACATTGCGTCTGGAAAATGATCGTAATTTCATTAAAATAGTGTCTCAAAACATGAAATGAAAGCATATTGACTCTCTGGAAAATGTGAGGGTGTTATTTCCTGGGCTGATTGAGAAATAGCAGAAAACAAATCTAAATCACTTACTTCACTCAAAATAAATAATATGCTTTTCTTAAGTCTTTGAAAACCTTATGCTAAGTAATGATGTGTGTTTGATGAGTTTAGCAATTCCACTTGCACGTGCTCTGCTGTGCATCAGCACTCAGGAGTAAAGCATAAGTGATGCCATAGATGTTACCACAGGTGGACAATCTCCCTCAGTTCCTTTGTGCATAGTTACTGTGATGGATGTACAAAGGCAGGTTCTTCATCTTAAACATTATGCAGCTGCTACAAGGTCATCGATTTATAGTTGAAAAGTGCATTTGTTTCCTCAGCAAGGTTCTGAGACAAATACAAGGTGATTAGTCCCCCTTCAAACCAGCAGCTTCAAAAAGTCATCGTGAAGGATCTGAACCCTCAGACTTCACAGCACACACACTTTTTGTAGTTATGGTGGTGGAATAATACTGGAGCTGTCAGAGCTGAAATATCACATCAACAATGTATGTGTATGTTATTGGCAGAAATTTAAAAGTGTTGGGTTAATAGATTTGGGGAAAGGAGGAGTATGTTTGCAAGGTGGTTTAGCAGCAGTGGGTCAGAGTGACAGCACATCAATTCTAGCAGTCTCCAACCAAAACTTACAGTGGTTTTTTAATAGTTACGTATATCAGTATTCTGTACTTTGTAACAAACTGCGGGCTTTTCCAGCTGTTTTTAAGTGCAGAACTCCATCATGTTCACTTTCTCTTTGACTGGAGAGAACTTTTTGTGCTGTGAGTTGAACCATTGGATACTGCTGGGTTTCAGGTACGTGCAGCAGTGCACACCTGGGTCATCTGCATGAATTTCCATGTATGCCTCAGGTCTCATTACCAGGGAGCACAGGGTCAGCACCACCCCAGGCACCCAGAGGCTGTGAGTGTCTGACTTACAGGTTTTGCTCCAGTGTGTATGTCTAAGTATGTACTTACAGCAGTATATAAACATATTAATTCCTGTAAGCTGCCATAATTCTGGCTTAAATTGGATTAAAGGACTGGACTTGTTTAATGTTGTTTGCTTTGACAGTAACTTACTCCAGAATAACTCACAGTGCACAGTCTTTCAAAATTGTTATTCTAAACTATGACACAGAGTTTTCTAAAGACTGGGGATATGCTGAGGTCTTCACACTACCAAAAAAATAAACACTGAGACTCCTGTTAAGCTGTGCTGTATAAACAAGTAATAAAATAAATGAAGTGAGACAGAATAGTAACATCCACATGAAATGTGGAACAGGATAATAGAGAAAATAATTCTCATATTTGAAGTACTGCTGTAACCGAGGTTTTTCAGTTAATAAATGTTTTGTCAGCCTGTCTTTAGAGTCATGTGCATGAGTGAATGTAAGTGAACCAAAGATAGAAAATACATCAGACTGCAGGGCTTTTGCAGGATGTGGATTTTTTTTTCAAAGGCTATAGATTGAGCTTTGTGTGCGTTGTATCCTGTTTTTTAAAATATTGATCAAGCTAAAAACAGACTTAATTAATGTGAAAGTGGAGGATGGAGATATAAAGGTATCCTTCACTCAGTGGTCCAGTGTTTCTTCTCTATAAAAAAGCAGGAAATCTTAACTATATATTCAAGACCTTGGTGGGTCAGTCTTTACTTCTGCCAGAGTTCCTAATTCATAATATCCTTTTTTGCATCACGTAGGTGTGTGGAGAATTGGGTGATGTCTGTACACACTTGGGTTTTTTCTTTTCAATGTAGATAATTGGAAATATTTAACAGAGCCCAAATTGGCTTTAGGATTCTTTGCAAGAGCTGCTGGTGGAGCTCTGTCTCTAGGAATAGTCCAGCTGCCTTTTGCTGGTGGTCTGGAAGTGAGGTAGGATTTTTTCCTTCTTTTCATGATTCAAAAAAGAATTATGAAACTTTGCAGGTATTAAGGGGGATAAAAGTGAAAGATACCTGTTCAGAAGCAATACTTGACAAAAACTCCTTTAAAATGTTCTTTTTGCTACCGGAACATCATAAAAATAAGGAAAAGCTTTCAGCAGTATATAAGTAGTAAACTAAATAATCTTGTAACATGGTAAGTGTAATTAGCAAGATTCTTCCATTCAGGAATTTCATTAAAAGCAAGTGCTTATTAAAATGTGATGAGAACACTGCCTGATGCACTGTCAGATGAGAGGAACATGGATACATGGATTTCCATTCATTTGCAGGCCTCCTTTCCCAGCTGGGATGAGCTTGAGGTTATATATCTAGAATCTGTTTGTTCTGTATCACATCTTTACTTCCTTCCCACATGGCCATAGAGCAGTTACCATCCTGCCTGTTCATTACAGCAGAATGGATGGATCATTTGGCTTATATCACTTGAAGAGTGGAAAAAATCAAGATTCCTTCTTTTTTTTTTTTTTTTTTTTTTTTAAATTTAAGTGGAAGCACATTTCAGTTCCTGAGCAATCACTTCTGTCCATGGTTATGGTGGTACTGCCTTCCCCCTGCTCCTCTTGGACTGGGTTTGAGTGGAGCCATCCCGGGGAAGTACGCAAGAGTTCTGTTCCAAGGACTGTTTGCAGATTCCTGAAGATTGTGAATTTTTGGTCGTGGTGTTTTTTCCATACTGTTCAAAAGGCAGGCACAGCCCACATTAAGCTGGAGCTTAGTCAAATTCTGATGAAACGTGACCCCTTGCCCTTCCTGTCTTTGTTCCTTCCTAGTTCTAACTGCTAAAGCTGCTGTGAGTGTTCCTGAAAAGTGGGGCCTGTTTTTTAAAGTGTACGTGTTGAGAAAGCTTCAGAATGAATTTTCACAAGCAACTGCAGATACTTTAATATTGTCCTTTGGTGCTGTGCTTGGACCTCACACCGTGGGTTTAGGTATTTTTATTTAAACTCCAAAACCTTGAATATCCAGGGCAGATAAACCTCTGAACTGTTTTTTTCCCCCCTTCCTTAACATGGTCCTGTGTTTACTAAAACAAAAGAAATTCCAATCTTCCTTCTGCACTGCTCTGCCACTTATTCAGTTTTCATAATTCTAGGTCACTTGCTGCTAAAAAGCAGTGAAAACACTGAGTGTGCCCTTTTCCCACAGTAAGGAAGCTAATGAAATATGGTGCAAGATGTTTTGCTCTGTAGGAGGGTTTCTGAACCAGTGCAGAGGAACTTCTCTTTTGTTCTGCTCTTAGTTCATCTCTCATCCTCTGTGACAGCTACAAACCATTGCCTTGCTTTCTGCAGGATGTTAATCCTTCAGTGTACAGCACAGACAAAATCATGGACAGCTAATCCTTTCATTTGCCCTTTAAAAATTGATTTCTGTCTCCAAGATAATTGATATGGAGCAGCATCTCCTTCAGTGCCAGAAGAGAAATTTACTTCTGAATCAGGAGTTCAGAGAATGCAGAATTTTCCATGGTCAGCAGGTATCTGTGAGGGCATTTCCAAATTTTTTCCCTCAAATTAACCTGGTATGGCCATAAAATACATGGGGTGATTTTCAAAGGTTTCTCAGACTTTCCTGTTCTCTGTAAATTATTTAATAAAAGATGTAGGAGCAGTCACCTAAAATGGCCTTGATTTGTATGTCTCAGGATCTGTACCTGGGAACTGTGACACCCTCTGTGAAAGTGTAGCAGCATTTTGTAGGAATTTGTTTCAAAACCAAAGAGAATGCTGACAAGTCTAGGCAAGTGGGACACCTTTATAAACCAGCCTCCCAGTACATGCTTACCTGCTTTCCAAAGGCTTCAACATGGAAAACTGCTTTTCACTGGGTGGGATGATCAGGCTGCTGTAGTGTTGCAATGAGACTGTGCTTACAGTGAACACAGGGGACTTTTAAGTTTACAGTAGGGGCTGGAAAGGGATTGAAAAGAGCCTGATATGTGATTAGGAATTCCAGATAATGGACATTTTTCTTTTCCAGATTCCCTTACCATTTTGATCTCCAGTCTTCTGTCCCTTGTTTGAAGCTGAGCATTGCCAAGTGCTGCATTCTTCTTAGCAGGCCCTTATAAAGCACAATTAGAGAAGTTAAGGAGTTATATGGGAGAAGGCACTGCTTAATAACAAGGTTCTGCCATAGCAATTTGTTATTTCCCCTAGTGTGGGTCATTAAGGCTTATATGTGTTTATGATTTTACTGATTTTGAGAAAAAACAGCCTAAAATTTTCTCTGTAGGGAAAATTGAGTGGCATAGCTGTTGGCTCTGACATGCCTGGTCGCTTCCAGAAGGTCACACTGGGTGGCTGCAAGAGGAATTTATTATAGGTAGATTACACAGATGAGTGGAGCAATTCTGAAATAAAGCAAATTCAGGATACAGCAGTACCAGTTGCTTTTCCTGGCTAGGGGAAGCCAGGACTATTGCAGTCTAGACAACATTCCCAATGCTTTTTACATAACCAATTAACATGCTCTCTGCTTTCGAGTCGAAGATTACAATTACAAAAAGAATCTGGATTATTTTTTTTTTTTTTAATAATCACATCCTGTTTTTTAATTATTGTTTTTACAGGTGGATTTATCTAAATGACCAGAACCTCTGTATCCCAACTAGTTCTTCTTTCGTGTATGGAGCTGTGCCCATCGGAGCCAGCATATACGTGATTGGAGATCTCGACACAGGTCAGAACTAGAACTAAAAACCTCTTGTTGCTTATTTTCTTCCAGTCTTTTAAATACTGGGTACCAATGAGACTGAACATTTTAAGGATAAGAGGCTGAGATTCTGTTCTAAGTTGCTGTGGTTCACAGGGATTATGCTGGACATACAGAAACGTGCAGGTTGCTTTTGGAGCTCTTCAGAAACAGGTTCAGTGCTATGAGCATTGGGTGGTTTGGTTGATTAGTTTGAAGATCAGAAAAGAAGACTAAGAGTGTGTTACTGCTTTTATCTAAATGTAAGGAGAACTGTTACTGCCTGAGGTTGTGGCTCCTGTCTTTGTAGCAGTAAGCAGGCAGTTCTGCATTTTGGGGACATCATCCAGTGGCTCATATGGATGTGAGAGTGACTCTGGGCTCTAAATCCTGACTGAATAAATGTGTACTAACAAACACAGTCAGTCCTCAGCTTTCAGCATTTGGTCACATACTGTAAAAGAGGTTTGGAAGGCTACCTGCTTTTGTGGCCGTGTGTACGTACGTAAGTTGTGTAACAGGGCTTTTTGCAAAACGTAAATGAGGAAAAATCCAAATGTGGTGGGTTTAAGTGGATCAGAGACATCACAGTAGTTCCCTTTTGACAGTAATTTCAACCACCCCTCCAGCAACTGATCTGTGTTCCTGTGCATGCTCTCCTTCATGTGTTTGCATGCTGTGCCAGGGGAAGTTTGGGTTGGATATTAGGAAGACATTTTTTACAGAGAGAGTAATCAGCCATTGGAATGGGCTGCTCAGGGAGGTGGTGGATTCTCTGTCTCTGGAGGTGTTTAAGATGAGGCTGGATGTGGCATCAGTGCCACAGTCTGGTAACCACGACAGTGTTGGATCCAGGGTTGGACTCGATGATCTCGGAGGTCTTTTCCAACCAGGTCAATTCTGTGATTGATTATCAGAGGTTCAACGCGGTGGTACCTACAGCACGTTTTAGGCATTTCCTCTCTTTTTTTTTTGTGAACTCAGGCACAAACTATGACTATGTCAGAGAGTTTAAGAGGAGCACGGGCACCTGGCAGCGCACGAAGCCCCTGTTCCCGTCGGACCTGCGGCGCACCGGCTGTGCCGCCCTGCGCATCGCCAACTGCAAACTCTTCCGGCTGCAGCTTCAGCAGGGCCTGTTCCGCATCCGCGTCCCTTCTCCGTGATCCGTGTGCTGGCAGGGGAGGAGACTGGAAGAGTTCTGCGCAGCCCACCATAATCTAGCTCTATATAAAAGGAAAAAAGCTGAGAAATTACAGCTGAAACTTAACACTGTATGCTGTGCTTTGGTATGGTAACTGTTTTTGTTTTAAATGCTTAAAAAGCTTGAGTCTCAGTTCTTGTTCGGGAACAAATAACTTAAGTATACATTAAAAAAGAAGAGAGGGGGGAAATAAAAGGGGAGAGCAAGGAAACACCTTCAGTCGTAACCATTTGGAGTTTAAACCATATTATTGAAGAAGGTTTTTTTTCTGTGTCTGGAACTGTGGGAATTGGTTTCCTTTGGCGAAGCTTATTGGAAAGCGGAACAGATTTCAGGTGCATTTCCCCTGAGGGGAACTGGTCCGAATAAAAGTGCTATCTGGGACTGGATAGCTGTAATACACAGGAGCTGTACAATAACCAACCTCCCTGGTGTGCTGCCAAGACTGCTGCTGGAGCGTGATGCCATAGGAGACGTTGGTCGTTGCACCTTTTATTTCTAGTCCTTCCTCAAAAAGATTTAAGGTCTGTGCCTAAAAATGGTGGAGGTGTGTACATACGGTTTTTCATTCATTTGCAATGGTTTCATTCCTACAAATACTTTTAATATATTTAAAAATGGACTAATCTGAAATGGATACAGTACATTACAGAGAAGTAAACTGGTTTTTTTTCTATGCTGTCATTTGAGTAGCCTGACGAACTGGTCTGCAGGTGGGTGGCATGTGCTTCTGGGTGGGCTTTGGGGGCTGTTTTCTTGAAGTGAAAAGGGGGAAGGGTGTTTGGAACGGTTAGTGGTGATTGCTGCTTTTGGCAAAAGCAAAAAAAAAAAAAAACAAATAGGTTGTGTTCCTTTTTACTTCAGATCAGTTGCAAACTCAGAATGGTTTTTAAGCCTGAGGATCGTAGAACGGTGTGTTTTGTCTCTCTGAGAACAAAGGTGAAGTATGACAAGGATATATTTCTTTTGCAGAAAACCTGATTTTTGGATTAAGAGTTCAGGAAAATTTGAACAGCGACTTTAAATTGGGATCAAAAGTTTGTTTACTAATGATTTCCGTGCTAAGGTACAGTCTTGTTTATTGCTGTCTGACTTGGAAAGCTGGGTTTTATGGCGTGGTTATAGTGAAGAACTTAGTATCTTGCATTTTTTTTCTTACTAAGCCTTGTTCACATCAGTAGCGATATTTAATTGCCTTTTTTTTCGTAGTCAAGGTCAGCTGGTAGAACACTTTTACCTCAGTTTTTGATTTCGTTATTGTTGTGATGGGTGGGACGTGACCTCTATTTATTTAAAAGGAATAAAATGGGAGAGATGGGAAACAGAAATAAGACCTCCTGCCCTTCAGAAAAAGAGATTTTGTATAACCAGTATTATAACTACACACAAGACTTTCCACTCTGCACCTTTGTGGACCTCAGACAAGCCAACCTCTGCCCTCAGTTGTGTTAGTGTAAACCTTTGTCATCTTCGCTGAATCATCTTAGACATGCTGAACTACAATCCCAAACTCCTACAGAATAGTGATATTTCACTAAATAACCCTTGAAGAGACATTCTGAAACTTCTGCTCGGTCCTTCCATAGCACTGATGTGTGGTTGGAATTACTCTGATTTCTGAGCAAAGGGGTGGGGGGGGAAAAGAAAAGGGCAGCAGCCAATCCATTCACCATTATTTATTTTTTTATTATTTTTTACAATGCTGAAGTGCTGCAAAACTTGAACTATATACATCAATTTTCTGACCTATATTAGTTGACATATTAAAAAGTTTATATATTTATGCATTGCAGTAAACTTGGTGTGTGTATATATATGTCTTTAGATTTTAAATTTATATATAATGCTTTACTACAGAAATGTGAACCACTATTTCCATCCTTGGCTGTCTTGTGAAATAAATCAAGTGCTGTTAGTTTATCTATAAAACTTCCCCTTTTTTGAAAAATCTTACATGGATTTTTTTTTTTTTCTCAGACAAAGTGCCAAGATCCCATATTCAAAAGTGATGAATGTTCCTAAGCACCTATTTCACTTTTGAGCTCAGTTTTCTAAGTGGCTTGGAAAACTTTCGAAAATGTTATTCAGAATATTGCAGGCTGCTATCTCCCAAGTCCCTGTAGCTTCCCAGCACCCTTGAGGGCATTCAGCACCCAGAAAACATAAGTGATAAATGCACATATTAAATCCAAATCCTCTGTACTCAAGCAGTGTTTTGCAGTTAAAATTACTGAACAGAATGTTTACATTTAAAGTAGGATTAACAGTAGGTATTCTTACTTTTTTTTTTTTTTAACATAAATAAACAAATCTCTTGTGATTGGAGCGTGTTGCGAATGCACTTGGTGAGATTTGACCAAGAAGTTTAAGCCTCTTCAGCTGAACCAGTTGCAAACTGAATTTCTTAGCACGCCTGTCCTCGTGTCACGTTCTGTGCAGCCCAGGGACCAGGGACCCTGGGATCAGACCCCAGTGTCTCCAGGGACACTGGCTCCTGGAGTTTGGGGTGCATGCTCAGGCTGAAGGTTTGAGCACTCCTGAGCTCTCAAAACTGGCTTCCTTGGTGTTGCTTAAGTGAATGGGGATCATTCCCCATCTGTGTTGTGTGTGGCCGATCCAGGAGCTGTTCCAGGCCCTGTGTGTGTAGGAGGGAAGTGATGTGTCTTTTGGGGTCTGACTCCTGTCTGTCTGCCCTGGTCTGATCTGCAAGTGCATCTCTTGGGATGTGCAATAACCAGGTTTGATTTCTCTCTGAATTTTAGGCAAGGCTTTGATGCCAAGGCTCCCCTTTCTCCAGGGATTGTCCTGGGGATGGTGCAGGAGACAAGAGGCAGAGCTGACCTCTGGTTTTCCTTTTGCTTTTCAGAAGAGAGGGGAGGGAGGCTGTGATTCCAGAGGTGCTGAGTGGAGGGAGGTCACCAGTCTCCTGAGGCGTTGAGTGTATGAAGAGCCATAGATTGGACTGGGTTCACTGGTAAATGCCACCACCCCAGCTGTCCCTGCACCCCGGTGCTGTGTACCCCTGGTGCTGTGTACCCCTGCATACGATGGCTGAACCACGTGGGAAACAACTCAGGAACTTTCTGAGGTGCAGTCCAGGGGTTTTAGGTGGTTTGGCAGTTTAGAAACTTAGTTTAAGTTGTCCTTGCTTGGCACAGTGGGCTTAATTCCTTCCAGCTCCTGAATCAGCTCTCTGGTTCAGCCAGGTCCTCCACAGGTGACTTTGTGAATGTTTCTCCTGGCCCTCTGTCCCTGCCATCTGAGGCTTCACCACCAGGCTTTAGGGCACCTTCCCTGGGGCTGAGAGTTCATCTCAGCATTGAAATGCTGATGTTTTTAGACCAACATTTGTATTTCTGCAAAGTGCCACTGACTTGGTGCCCGGCACACCTTGGACCGGGGCTGGGTCCTTGGGTGCACCTTGAGTCAAGCTCAGCACAATCCCAAACTAGGACTGGCTGGGCCACCTTGAGCTTGAGGAACTTGGACTGGGCCTCTGTGTCCTTTTTCCTTCCCCTGCTGAGGAACTGGACAAACCCCAGCCACTGTCATTATAAAATCACCGAAATACGGGGTAGGAGTTGTGGAAGATGGGAAGAGAGGTGGCTTTTTCTTCTCCCCTCACTCCATCTCTTACCACAGTTCCCCCCCCCAAAAAAAAATTTCCTCTTCCTTTTTTTTTTCTTCATGTGCCACAGGTAATTTTTGTAAGAACTTTGGAGTTGCTAATTTTAGGTTAAATCAAAAGTTTTGAGTGTACAAGTGGGGGGAAAAAAAGAGATACTATTGTAAGCACACGGCAGCGTCCTCTGTGCTTGTTTTACAGAAGCAAAGGTGTAAAGTGCTGTTGCTCTCAAAAAATAAATCCCTCAGGTTCCTGAGGGAGGCACACACCTGGCCTTGTGAGATGGTCCTAAAGAATCAGGGTTGGGTTTCAAATTCTTTCTGTGTTTATAACCTGAAGAAGAGGCATCCTGAAGAGTCTTCTGTTTTGCTGTACCACAGCGAGGTCTGCCTGTCCTCAAATGTTTGATCAGCTAGTCCTTTAGTTGTTGTGAAAATGCTGTATCAACCCAGCTGCTCCTGGTCGAGGGGCTCTCCACAGCTTTGGGGGCACCTCGTCTGTGAATTGAAGGCAAATGGATACGAGGTCACGCAGCAGGATAGTGGTTGAGTCTGAAAACAAAGCAAATTCACAACCTCAGCTCACTGATAGCTGTGGGCAGGCTGTGCTTGGACTGCACAGCACGTGCCTGGCACACAGCCTGCCTTCTGGGGCAGAGATCTGGGTGAAAATAAGAGGTTTTTATCAGAGCTGCTGAGGTGCCTGGTTTATGAACTCCCCTCGCAGAACACACCAGGCAGCTTGGTTTCTTTGCAATATTTCTTGTGCCTGCACGACTCAGGAAATGCACAAGTACAGGAGTGAGGGGTTTAGGGATGTCTTTCCCTGTTTTAACTGCAGTTCCTCTGGTTGTTCCATAAATACTGTGGCCATCCAGCCTGCATGGGCTCTGCTAACGTGCGTGTGCCGTGTGAAGTGGAGGATGCAATAACAAATGCAAGTTCATACAAGTGCCAAAATTTTGGTTTACTCTGTGTGTAACAGTAATTCAGCTGATCTACTAAAATATAGAGATGCTTACAATTCACTGTGTTCCAGAAAAGAGCAGTGGTTTGGGTTTTTTTGGTTTTTTTTTTTTTTTAAATGTATGCTATTGAAAACACTGTAAATTTTTACTTCTTTTTTTTTAAATACTGTTCTGCAGGTTTGTGTTACTCTTCACAGCTGCCTTGAATATCACTCCATGTGATGGATATGGACACTTTGCTCTTTATTAGAGCACTGGTGCCATGCAAGTATATAATAAGTGGCAGCTGACAACAGGTTTTAGTATTTAAAATTCTAAGTAGTTAGATGAAGTGGAGTTCATTTGCATTACTTGGCCTGCAGTGTCTTGGGAAGTGTGGCTGTGCCCAGGGACACAGACAGACCAAGGCCTGGTTTGGTGCCACTCACAGCCATGCTGTCAAAGGAGTTACATTTAATTTAGGGTATGGATCCTTCCTGCCTCTAATTTAGCATTGAGGACGAGGGGGTTGTGTTCTCTGAGCTCTTTGGAGTACTTAAACAGCTCCTCCAGGTGGGTGGGAGGGGTGTTAATGACATCCCTGTGTGCAGGAGCTGCTATTTCCATCTTCTTGGAGTGTTTCCTTTTCCTGTCCAGGAACAAGTGCAGGGCTGCGTTTCACTCGTCGCTGCTGCAGCCTTTTGACATTTGCCATTTTCTGCTGCTCTTCCTTGTCTTTTCTTGGAGCTGGGAGCTGCACCTGTAGGTTCTGTGTTTCTGTGGCACACCACTTGTGAAGGGAAAGTACAGAGATCACTCTGATCCCTTGGGATTGGGAAGGTGACCCAGTGAAAGCTGAAGGCAGTGAGATTTGGGGGCAGCTCCACTCATTTTCTGTGGGGGTCACATCCACGGGCTCTGAAGTTTATTGATGAGTTGGGCACCTGCTCTCCATTATCCCTGTGGTTTCTGGTGTGGTTTTTTTTTCCTGTGGAATTCCTTGCTGTAGGAAGGATTGCAGCCAGGGTTTAAGGTGACACCTCTGATCAGCCATGCCCAGCATGACTCTGCAGCCTGACTGCTGTTGTCCTCCAGTAATCAATTGTCTCAAAATTTTGATTAACAGGTAATCTAAAAACATGGACTAAAGCCATGTGAAGTGCCCAACTTGATAAACACCTGCTCAAAAGGATTAAAGGTAACAGGAGAATTAAACTATGAACTGCTACCAACGGGTGATTATGTTGTAAATTTGTTGGCAATACAAAATCTTAGATATTTTTCTAAATAGCTTATTCTAGGTAGCTGCTTCTTAGTTGTAAAAATATTTGAAATAGATAAAGATGTTGTTTAGAATAATATTTGAAGGTTATTGTCTTGAAAAGTGAGCTGGAAGATTGGAGCTTTTCAATGGCAAAGGCTAAATCTTGTTTGCCCAGTGCTTTTGCAGGGTTTCTGGTGAACAGAGAACACCTGCCAGGGCACATCAGTGCATGAGGGTACTCAATGCCACTGCCTACCTGTGCCCTTGAATTTGCAGAATGAAATGAGGCTGTTCTGAGCCCTGGTAAAAGCTGAGGGATCTGATTACAATAATAAGATAGAAAGAAGTGTCCCCAGTGTCAATAATTTTATTGATAAAACACGAAAATGCCTTTTTTTTTTTTTTTCAGATACTGGGTACTTTTGAATCACCACCTAATGCACTTGATTATTTTTTTTTCTTCTTTGCCTTTCATCCTTTTCACTTAATGCTAAAATGTCCTCAAGGGCAAGTTTCTCTCCTCTGTATTTCCGGCCCCAGGAGCCTGACAGACCCCCTGTCACAGGCTGTGCAATGGGCTGTCTCACCAGTGTAATTTCTGTGCATTCTCTGTGCTGCCACCTCTGCCAACTTCAGAACATTAAAAAAAAAACCAACCCTGTAGAACAATTTTGCACCAGATGAAAGCAAGAGCCGTTTTGGAAAGTCTGAATGTCAGTCTGCAATAATTAGTGTGCTTTGAAAACCTGATCCCTGGCTGGGCTTGAGGTTCTGTCCTGAATGGTCTGACACTGATTAATCTGCCTTATCAATTTTATTAACCTGCTTTATCAATTCACACGTGACAGCAGGAAAGCATTATCATCCTTGTCACTTGTTTCACTTGTCCTTGTCACTTGTTTTTAACTCTTAAAAAGCAAAGTCTGCTTATTTATTAGAGTGTATAAACCAGTACACCGGGGTATCTGCCAAGGTGGTCGGGTTGAACAGAGCTGACATTCTGCAAAGCTCTTGTTAAAGTTTCTTTCTGAAGGGAAGCCAGGGAGTGCCCTCTTAAGAAATACTTTCAAACTCTTTCAGAACTGGTCTTAAACGAGTCCAAAGGACTCCTCTGGGTTGCTCAGAGTGCACGGGGTCTGTTCGAGCTTTTGTTTGCTTCGGGAAACAGCTGCTAAGTCAATTTGAAGCATTATTTTTTCATCCCTGACTTCCCAAACCGAAATAGGTAAATTAAAAATTGCTTCTTTTAATAGAAACATTTTTGTATTTAAGGGTTGGAGGCTGCATTTTTGCAATATGTGGTGAGTTTGTATTGCACCTTAGTTTAGTGGCTGTAAACAGCGAGCTGTGTCCTGGTGGACTCCTGACAGGTACTTTTCAGTGCTTGGAGCAGAGGAGAAATATCAGTAAAACAAGATTTTCTAGGGGGGAAAGCCCCTATTCCCAGCTACCTCATTTTTTTTCCCTTGCACTTTGTCAAATCTTTTTGTTTTGTTTTAAATCGCATTTTGCCCTTCAATTAAAAAAAAAAAACTAAAAGCAGACAAGAAGCAGGACAGAATGGTGCCATTGCCCAAGGACAGTTTACTTTAATTTCATTTTAAATTAATGTTTCTGTACAAAAAGACCAAGGTTGACCTGCAGCTGCTGTAAAAAGTAAATAAAAATGTGTATTCCTTGAAAGTAACTATTATACTTGGAAATGAGAGTAGCAATTGAAAGACTGTCCTGATGATTTTTATATAGGAAAAGATCTGTTTAAAAAAAAATGGAAATCTCTGCTCTTTTAAGGACAGATCAGATAGTTTTCTCTCTGCCTCTGCTCTGCACTGTTTTGCCTGTGATCCATTATCTCAGTGGAGAGATTCACTGATTTTTCTGTAAAGTCTAATTGGCTGTTTTTCTGTGGAGTTCTCCCTTTGCTCTCCTACAAAGGAAAAACTGTCAAAAATCAATACCCACCTTCTGCACCTGAACTCATCTAATTGCCCGTTTCTTTGGGATCTTCAAGTATGTGGGGTTTTG